CGCATTACTTCATTTCAACGAATGAATGAAGGGCAAAAAGGTGAGAAACTCACTTGCTTGGTAAACCAGAGAAGGTGTTGTAATGTTTAGAGGTTAATCGAGTTGAGATTCGACAGACTTAAAACCAGTGAGCCTTGGACTACCTCTTAAGATCTCCTAAGAATTAACTTTCACCGCTACTTATAGCCAATTTATCTTATTTGTCACCATAATGTTGTCTAGGAATTTTATTACAATAATCTGTGTGGTATTTTGGTAAAAGGTACAGCCCATCTCAGGTTTGAACCCTCAACTCTCTGTTTGAGAGGTATGATAGCTACTCCACTCTGCTGCCTAAGGTGGTTGTTGTGGAGTGAAGGGCATAGTGTGTGCCTAGACATTCTGGGGCTAACTTAAATATCCGCATCTTCAGATTGATCCAAATCTCACAGTCCTGCAATTGGAGAAGGACCTTCGCACCAAAATGGAAGCGCTGATGAAAGAGAAGAACGATCGCCTGAAAGAGCTGGAGACTTTGCAGCAGGATGACAATGCTCTGTGCACAGAGCTGTGCGCCACCCCTTACTACATTCCTACAGGCAGCATGCCTTCTCGCTCACAGCTGCAGGATCTTCGAGAGCACATCAAATCCCTTAAGGAGGAAAAGGTACAGTCCTGAGACAGTGGCGCACATCTGAGTTCAAGTTTCTGTCCTCTTTCAGAAATCTAGTATGTACAAAACTGTATTCCTTTGTTGTATAAAATTGCAACTTTTTGTACTTCAGTCCTGACAATCTTTTTCTCTTCCCTTAGAAAAACCGCATTAAGGTATTTTCTGACCTTAGACAAGACATCAGACAGTTAATGACTGAAATTGGTCATTCTCCTGAGACCAGTATGGAGAAGGAGGTAGTCTGTGATGATATGGATGCCTTTCTGCTCACCAATGAGAATATCAAAGCTCTCAAAATGATTGTTTTCCAGGTAATGTATAGAGAACTAGAAAAGTGGGTGTACTGTTGTGCCCAAAAGTATTGGTGGTTTTTATTGAGTTAAAGGGCTTTTGAATTGCTGTAGTGTTAGACAGAATCAGCATCTACAACTATGGAATGTAT